AATTCTACCTCACTTTAAAAAATACTCAATTGCCCAATTTTATTCTAAATCCCTATTATTGCCCAATTTTACTTTAAACTATATTGATCAAACTTATTGTAAACTTCTTTTATTGACCATTTTTATTCCATACTTTTTTAAACTAGTATTTTCAACTACAACTTTTATATTATCCTGTCTACCATCTTACTAGCATATTATAACCAAGTCATTGCCATTTTTATTTTTATAATTTTTTTTATTATTATTTTGCTACCTTAATTTGTGTATTTTATCCTGTCAATTTAAATCTAATTATGCTCTAATTCTTGTAAACAACTTATATAAGACCTTAGTGCAATTACAATTGAGAGTCTTGTTCCTTTATTATATTATTAGATTAATCACAGTTTTACTCTAGCTCATTCTAGCTCAATACATAGTCAATAACAAATTCACTATACTAGACCATAGTGCAATTACTAGTGAGAGACTGGTGCTATTTGTAATTTGTATTTTTATACTATTAGACTAAACCTAGTTGTACTATAGCTCATTCTACCTCAAGACATAGTCAATACCAATTCACTATATTAGACCATAGTGCAATTACTAGTGAGAGACTAGTGCTATTTTTAATTTGTATTTTTATATTATTAGATTAAACCTATTGTACTTTAGCTCACTCTAGCTCAAAACATAGACTCCACAAAAGTCATTATTAGACCTTAGTGTAATTACAAGTGAGAGTCTTGTTCTATTTTTAATTTGTATTTTTACATTACTAGTTTATACCTAGTTGTACTTTAGTTCATTCCAGCACAACACATAGACAACATCAACTTCATTATGTGTAGTAGTGACTATACTCTATATGACCAAAATACTCTAGCTATATACTTGTCCAAACTTCCCACCACTACAGATATCAGTACTAGAACTCAACACACAACTCAGGATATAAATAACCATAATTTAAACCTAGAAGATGATTGATCACGTTGACCCTGATCTAAACCTCCATATCTGACAACCCAATCAAAACCTATTGGAAAGTAACTGCCTTTATTACACAGCATCACAAGCCACCACTATACTAAACAATGCTAAAAGTCTATCAGTACTTAACTACAACATCAGGTCCTTAAGCAAACACTATGATGACCTCCTAGCACTCCTTGAATCACTAAAGACACCCTTCTCCTGCATTATTCTTACTGAGACCTGGCTTAAGCAGGACACAATAGATATCTACCCTCTACCAGGATACACAGCAATTCACAACTGCAGAACAAACCAAGTTGGGGGTGGTATTGCAATCTATTACTCTAACCAATTATCTTGTCTTAGCACCACTTGCTTTAGTGATGAATATGGGGAATACATTTTTGCTAATTTTAATGTAAAAAACCTTAAGACGCCTATAACAATCGGTGCCATTTATCGGATACCTCACACAAACATCCAAATTTCAGTGAGAAATTAAAGTCACTAATAACAAACAGACAAATGAATAAGCACCACCTTCTCTTAGCTGGAGACTTCAACATCAACCTTGGCTTACTAGATGATCAGCCTGTAACTGATTTCATCAACAATATGAACAACACACTTCTCATACCAACAATAACTAAACCAACCAGGCTCACTGAGACAAGTGCAACCGTAATAGACCACATATGGAAAAATATACTAGCCCCCCTTAAATCAGGGATAATCACAGATAGCACTACAGACCACTACCCTACCTTCCTCCTGACAAACATTAGTAAACCACCACTTGAATACAACAAAGTCTCATTTAGACTCCATGACGAGGCCTCAGTAAGGAAGTTCACAGCTGACCTAGAGACTGTTGATTGGCCTACAGAATTCTCCAAGGCCAATGGTATTGATGACTGGACAGACATTTTTCTTAACAAATTACTTAGACTATACAACAAACATTGTCCTATAAAAACAAAACAGATCACAAACAAACGGCTTGGTTGCCCATGGCTAACCAGCACCATTCTGAAATTCACTGACAAGAAACACCAATATGAAAAGCAATATAGACAGGGCTTAATACACAAAGATACTCTTAAACACTATTCATCAGCTCTCACAAAAGTGATAAAAAAAGCCAAACAACTATACTACTCCAGTAGATTCACAGACACTAGAGGAGACATAAAAAAGACCTGGAAAACACTCAGATTCTAGGGACCCACAAACTGAGAAAAACCAAGAATATTGTCCTAACTAAACCTAATGAAACACCACTACATCCCACTGACACAGCTAACAAGATAAACGACTTCTTCTCAAACATAGGATCTAATCTCGCCAGTAAAATCCCACATACCAATGCCCATGCCGGGGACTACCTAGATGGAAATTTCCCTAATTCCTTCTATCTTGCACCAACTGAGCCCACGGAAGTCGTTATCATAAAGTCACTTAAAAATAACTCGGGGAATCTGTCTCATGTCCCACCATTACTGTACAAGCGAGCGGCCCATGTCCTTTCGCATGCTATTTCATTACTTTTTAACAAGTCAATAGAGACTAGAACCTTCCCGAAACTACTCAAGATGGCAAGGGTTACACCAATACATAAAGGTGGTGACCCTACAGACTTAAACAACTATAGGCCAGTATCTAACTTACCATTGCTATCCAAAATCTTTGAGAAACTCGTGCACAGGAGACTGTATTCATTTATAACGGCTCAAAACATACTCAACCCCTGCCAGTTTGGATTCAGGAAAATAAAAGCACTAATGATGCAATCATAAAAAATGCTAGATCTGCTTTACACAGCAATGGAAAATAAGGGAAAATCCACTAGGAATTTTTATTGACCTAAGAAAAGCTTTTGACACAGTAGACCACGACATCCTACTCCACAAACTTGATCACTACGGTATAAGAGGCCATGCGCTTGCTTATTCAAATCTTACATTACTAATAGGTATCAGTACGTCACCATTAAAGACAGCATCAGCAACACGGCCACTTGATACTGGAGTTCCGCAGGGAAGTGTCCTTGGTCCCCTGCTCTTCCTCATATACATCAATGACCTTCCAAACGTATCCCAACACCTGAAACCCATTCTCTTTGCTGATGACACGACTTATGTCAGCTCTCACCCTAATCTTGCCACCCTCAACACCATTGTGAATGAGGAGCTGATTAAAATATCGACTTGGATGACAGCCAATAAACTAACGCTTAACACTGACAAAACCTACTATATTATATTTGGTAGCAGAGCAGGAGATGCACAAATTAACATTAAGATTGACAACACTCTAATTACCAGGAATAATGGGGGAAAATTCCTAGGCTTATACCTTGACAACAACCTGAATTTCAGCACCCATATCCAGCATATAGCCAAAAAAGTATCCAAAACGGTTGGGATCCTCTCCAAGATACGATACCACGTGCCGCAAAATGCCCTTCTCACACTATAACACTCACTTATTTATCCATACCTCACCTATGCTATTTGTGCTTGGGGATCAACTGCAGCAACACACCTAAAGCCAATAATAACCCAACAAAAAGCTGCAGTAAGAATAATCACTAAATCCCATCCCTGGCAACACACCCCCCCACTCTTCATAGATCTAAACTTACTCCCAGTTCAGTACATCCACACTTACTACTGTGCAATCTACATCTACAGGGCCTTAAACTCTAATATCAACCTTGACCTAAAACGCTTTCTTGATGGTTGTGACAGAACCCACAGGCATAACACCAGACATAAACATCTCTACGACTTTCCCCGTGTCCGACTAAACCTTTACAAAAATTCAATGTATGTCAAAGGCCCTAAAATCTGGAATACCCTACCTGAGAACTCTAGAACTGCAGACACATTCATCACCTTCAAAACTACCATTAGAAAACATCTTATCTCCCTGATACACCCCGTCAACTAACTACACGAATACCACCTGGTGGTTCACACTTACACTCACTCACTCATTTGACCATAAACAGAAATATTAATCTCAGTCTTAAAATAATGAATCCTGTGATACTCCAATACTGAAACTATGTACTGTGCCAAAACAAAAGCATTCACAATGCTAAACTCACAAACTAGTATTTAGTCACTTAGCCATAATACCAACTTACCTCATAATTTGTAATATTTTACAATTAAGAATAAAACTAAGTATGCCCGAAATGCCTAGCCATGCTAAGCGTTCTAGTGGTACACTCTGCAATCACAATTTTACTACATGTAAACCAAACAATAACCAAATTTCTGTAAACTCAGCATTGTAATCCTTATAGAGAATAAACTTTGAATTGAAAGTGTCCTAGTGGGAGTTACTGCCAACCACTGACCTGACATCACCCTGCGACCAGCTGGTCAGTCTGTGGTCGGGTTACTGCCTGAGGGCAGACCACCACAACATGCTCACCTCATGCCAGCAGACAGTCTGCTTAAACGCAGCTGTCGATTCAGAGTTAAACATTGATAGGTCCAGGTACCCTCACACTAGACAGGCTCCTGACAGTCACCTCTCGTGTCCACACATCCCTAGTCTAGGGAAAGGGCAAATCCTTGGAACCCATGAGGTACTGGTTGAGAATAGTGCAGCAGGAGTACTTCGCAGCTGACCATGATTTCCTGAAGGAGTCAGTGAGGAAACCTGACTTAGTCCAGACTCTGGGACTCCACCTGGTCTCTGAGAACCTACTGAGGTACCGAAAGACACCGAATTCCTCCCTCCCAGGAAACTCTGTCCCTCCTATCTTACTATCCAAACACCACTGGCTGATGAGGCTAGTCATCAGTGATGGTTACAGGCTCTAAGATGAACTTCCTGACTGAAACAGGGACCACTAACCCTACCCAGTCGTGAACTCACACACACAGCCTCTGTTCTATACACCTCGGAACTCTAATATGATGATTAATAGGTGGAAAACTGAAACAAAAGATGTTGATCTGTCAAATATATTATTGTGCTTATTTCAATATTAAGAGAAACCTGTTAATTTTTCTTGGCAGAAAGATTACGGAAGGGAGAGAGGTGTTCAGTAGCTGCTCTCAGTATAATGTGACGAGCGACCTCATACATAGAGTCAACCTCACACCCTCAGCCCCAGCCACTACTGCAGCCTACCTCACACCCTCAGCCCCAGCCACTACTGCAGCCTACCTCACCACCGTCGGAGTTGTTGGTAAGACTTATTATTAGTATTATATTCATGGAGAAGTTCTAAATTGGGAAGGGTTATGCAGTGCCTGTAGAATGGGAGGTAACCAGATGTTATCCCTGAAGGGTAAGGTTGCTACAGTTGCTAGTATCAAGAGTTATTCACTAGCATCAAGGCACACTTTTTCCCTGAATATGGAATACAAACCGCTAGTCAGAAGTTTGAATGTCAGAGGTTATTCTATAATTTGTTCTAGCTGTCATCCATAATGAATTCACAGAAAATTATACATTATTTTTGGGCAAAGATTTTGAACCATGCTGATGAGTAAATATAATACCGCAGTTCACAACAGTCATCTTGAGCGTCACCAGATCCATAGATACTTTAAAGCTAAATCATAATAACTAAAGTATGTTGTTCTATTATTAAGTCCACTTACATAACATTTTAAATATTTGCTACGTACGTTGGTAAACTATCTTCGACTAAAAAGTGTGTGTATGTATAAGGTAGTGAAGCTGCAGCTCATGCGGCAAGGGCCTACATAAGGGACCTACCAGAAGACAAGGCCGTAGTCAAACTTGATTTTAGAAATGCCTTTAATATGGTGAAGAGAGATATTGTCTTGCTAGAGGTTCAGGGTAGGTTCCCCAGTCTTTTTCCTTTCATTTCAGCCGGCTACAGCAAACCCTCAATTCTTTTGTTTAGAGAACATGAAATTCTCTCATCAGAGGGTGTTCAGCAGGGTGACCCACTAGCTCCACTTCTCTTCTGCTTGGCAGTAAGAGTACTAACTTCCAGCCTACACAGCGAGCTCAACATCTGGTACTTGGATGATGGTACTCTGGCAGGTACTGAAGAGTCCCTGTGAGAGGACCTACAACTGGTGAAAAGACAGGGAGAAGACTTGGGACTAATCGTCATTCCCTCCAAGTGTGAAATTACAGCGAACCAGGAAGTAATCAATGCCGTGCGAAGAATCCTCCTGGAAGTCTCTCCTACCACTCCGTCCAACAGTACCCTCTTGGGTACTGTTGGACGAAGTGTTACTCTTAGGTCACCAGGCCATCGACATTGTCCTCAAAGGCAAATTGAATGACCTGATGAGAATGGAGGAGAGAATAAGCGATCTTGATGCCCATGATGCTCTGTATCTCCTCACAAGGTGTCTTACTATGCCAAGATTCACTTACTTCCTGAGGTGTACACCCTCTTTTGACAACCCAACACTCCATGAATATGATGCACACATGAGACCAACCTTTAAGAAGGCACTGAACCTGTCACTAGATGATCAACAATGAGATCAGGCAACCCTCCCAGTGCGACTGGGAGGTATAGGGGTGCGCAAAGCAATGCTTGTAGCAGTAAAGCAATCGCAAAGAACTACAGACCGTTAGCACTAACATCCTGTATCATAAAAATCTTTGAGAGGGTTCTAAGAAGCAACATAGCCAACCACCTAGATACCCATCAGTTACACAACCCAGGACAACATGGGTTTAGAGCAGGTCACTTCTGCCTGTTCCAGCTACTGGACAGCTATGACAAGGTCCTGGATTCTGTAGAGGATAAACAAAATACAGATGTAGTATACACAGACTTTGCAAAAGCTTTCGAGAAGTGTGACCATGGTGTAATAGCACACAAAATGTGGGATAAAGGAATAATGGGAAAAGTTGGTAGATGGATCTACAACTTCCTGACAAATTAAACACAAAGAGTCATAGTAAACAGAGTAAAGTCCCAGGCAGCCATGGCAGCCATGATCTGTATTCCCTCGAACGCGGCGAGAGAGATACATGATAATATACACTTGCAAAATCCTGGTGGGATTGGTACGAAACCTGCACACGAAAATCACTCCATATGAAAGCAAAAGACTCGGCAGGAGACGCAACATTCCCCTGATGAAAAGCAGGGGTTCCACGAGTACACTGAGAGACAACACAATAAGTGTCTGGGGCCCAAGACTGCTCATTTGCCCCCCAGCATACATAAGGGGGATTACCAATAGACCCCTTGGCTGTCTTAAAGAAGGCACTGGACAGGCACCTAAAGACAGTACCTGACCAACTGGGCTGTGGTTCGTAGGTCAGCTTGCGTGCGGCCAGCAGTAACAGCCTGGTTGATCAGACCCTGATACACCATGAGGCCTGGTCTCAGACCGAGCCGCGGGGGCGCTGACCCCCGAAACCCTATCCAGGTAAACTCCAGTGCATTAGTCAAGAAGATCATCCCCAAACGCTTGAGAGACGTGGTAGGAGCTGAAGTGCTCAGGTTTACTGAAGCAGCAATGCGGTGGGACACCCTTGCAGACTCCTCCAGTAGACCAGCTCCTCCCAAGGAGCACAAACAGTCCCACTGGGACAAACCGTTCGTGGAAAAAATCGCCGACACACTGCTCACCAACGCTTCAGGAAAAAACGAAGCTCATCTCCTGGCGGTGAAGGCACCACACTCAGGAGATTTCCTTCTAGCTGTTCCTAATTCCTCCCTGGGCACTCGACTCGACCTACAGGCCATTTCGATTGGTGTTGCTCTTCACCTAGCCGCCCCCATCCTCACTGAACATAGGTATATTTGCGGCAGGGCGACGGCTGAACAATTCGGACTTCATGATCTCGTGTGTCACACAGCAGAAGGGAAGTATGCCAGACATGAAGAGATCAATGACATCATAAAGAGAAGCCTCGCCACAACCCGTTGCTCAGCTCAGCAGGAGTCCCAAGTACAGAGGTCTAACAGAATTCAAAAGCATCCTGATGGAGCCACTATGCTACCTTGGAAGGATGGAAAGCAGATTGCCTGGGACAACACATATGCCACCACAATGGCAGACACCTACTTGCCATACTCCGTAGCTGAAGGGGGTGGAACTGCCAGCCACATGGAAACCCAGAAGACCCACAAATATGAAGACCTACCTCATTGCTATAACTTCATCCCAATAGGGTAGGAGACCCTCGGAGGATGGGGCAAGTGTGCTCTAAAGTTCCTCAGAGAGCTGGGTGAAAAGCTCATCATAGAAACCAAGGACCACAGGGCAACCAGCTTTCTCTTTCAAAGGCTCAGTGTCGCGATCCAGAGAGGAAATACCTGCAGCATTCTGGGCACATGGCCCACCGCCAGGAAGCTGGACGAAGTATTCGAGATGTAGCTCTGAGTTGTTAATATGTTGTTTTATTAGTTTTATTAGTTCAACGAGCAGTATTTTATATTATTGATCAACCTCTCGTTCGTGGTCACAATAATATAAAATACTGCTCGTTGAACTAGTTCACCAAACAGGGACTAGAATGAAATTAGCCTAGAGTCATCCACACCATCGTGTGTCCTTGGGTAGGGAGAACAACATCCAGTTCCGCTGGATGTCCTACTCTTAAGGATTGTATTGTTCAGTGGATAAGGGCGTCATGTGTTTTCGCCCACGCTGAGGCAGGCCAAAGCAGCATGGGTTCGAGTCCTTGGCTAGTGCAGTGTTGCTATTGAAGAGGGGTTGTTGAGGTGATTTGGTCATTTAGAGAGAATGGATCAAAGTAGAATGACATGAAGAGCGTATAAATCAGTAGGGGAAGGAAGGTGGGGTAGGGGTCATCCTCGAAAAGGTTGGAGGGAGGGGGTAAAGGAGGTTTTGTGGGCGAGGGGCTTGGACTTCCAGCAAGCGTGCATGAGTGTGTTAGATAGGAGTGAATGGAGACGAATGGTATTTGGACCTGACGAGCCGTTGGAGTGTGAGCAGGGTAATATTTAGTGAAGGGATTCAGGGAAACCGGTTACTTTATATAGCCCAACTTGAGTCCTGGAAATGGGAAGTACAATGTCTGCACTTTAAAGGAGGGGTTTGGGATATTGGCAGATTGGAGGGATATGTTGTGTATCTTTATACGTATATACTTCTAAACTGTTGTATCCTGAGCACCTCTGCAAAAAACAGTGATTATGTGTGAGTGTGGTGAATATGTTGAATGATGATGAAAGTATTGTCTTTTTGGGGATTTTCTTTATTTTTTGGGTCACCCTGCCTCGGTGGGAGACGGCCGACTTGTTAAAAAAAATGTTTAAAGTTAATTAGTCCTTTCAATTATTAAGACTACAATATAGTTAGAGGTCAAAATAGTGCACCATACTGACTTAATGACTTATAACTAAGAAGTCTTCACCCTTCACTTCTAAAACCATAACTTTGTGTCTTCTCAATTTACCCACAATTATTAACAAATGTGATTATCAAGTGTTTGTTACAGATTGTCAGGCTGGGTGGGAGTATGACCACACCTATTACCACTTGACACTGAGTATATCATGTGTTTGTTTCAGGATGTCATGCAGAGTGGGAGTATAACCACACCTATTACCACCTATTACCATATCATAAAAATCTTTGAAAGGGTCCTAAGAAGCAAGGTCACCACCCATCTAGAAACCCATCAGTTACACAACCCAGCGCAACATGGGTTTAGAACAGGTCGCTCCGGTGGTCTGGTGGCTAAAGCTCCCGCTTCACACACGGAGGGCCCGGGTTCGATTCCCGGCGCGTGGAAACATTTGACACGTTTCCTTACACCTGTTGTCCTGTTCACCTAGCAGCAAATAGGTACCTGGGTGTTAGTCGACTGGTGTGGGTCGCATCCTGGGGGACAAGGTTAAGGACCCCAATGGAAATAAGTTAGACAGTCCTCGATGACGCACTGACTTTCTTGGGTTATCCTGGGTGGCTAACCCTCCGGGGTTAAAAATCCGAACGAAATCTTATCTTATCTTAAGGTCCTAGATGCACTAGAAGACAAAAAGAATGCAGATGTAATATACAGACTTTGCAAAAGCCTTCGACAAGTGTGACCATGGCGTAACAGCGCACAAAATGCGTGCTAAAGGAATAACAGGAAAAGTCGGTCGATGGATCTATAATTTCCTCACTAACAGAACACAGAGAGTAGTAGTCAACAGAGTAAAGTCCGAGGCAGCTACGGTGAAAAGCTCTGTTCCACATGGCACAGTACTCGCTCCCATCTTGTTCCTCATCCTCATATCTGACATAGACAAGGATGTCAGCCACAGCACCGTGTCTTCCTTTGCAGATGACACCCGAATCTGCATGACAGTGTCTTCCATTGCAGACACTGCAAGGCTCCAGGCGGACATCAACCAAATCTTTCAGTGGGCTGCAGAAAACAATATGAAGTTCAACGATGAGAAATTTCAATTACTCAGATATGGTAAACACGAGGAAATTAAATCTTCATCAGAGTACAAAACAAATTCTGGCCACAAAATAGAGCGAAACACCAACGTCAAAGACCTGGGAGTGATCAAGTCGGAGGATCTCACCTTCAAGGACCATAACATTGTATCAATCGCATCTGCTAGAAAAATGACAGGATGGATAATGAGAACCTTCAAAACTAGGGAGGCCAAGCCCATGATGACACTCTTCAGGTCACTTGTTCTATCTAGGCTGGAATATTGCTGCACACTAACAGCACCTTTCAAGGCAGATGAAATTGCTGACCTAGAAAATGTACAGATAACCTTCACGGCGCGCATAACAGAGATAAAACACCTTAATTACTGGGAGTGCTTAAGGTTCCTGAACCTGTATTCCCTGGAATGCAGGCGGGAGAGATACATGTTTATATACACCTGGAAAATCCTAGAGGGACTAGTACCGAACTTGCACACGAAAATCACTCACTACGAAAGCAAAACACTTGGCAGACGATGCAACATCCCCCCAATGAAAAGCAGGGGTGTCACTAGCACGTTAAGAGACCATACAATAAGTGTCAGGGGCCCGAGACTGTTCAACTGCCTCCCAGGATACATAAGGAGGATTACCAACAGACCCCTGGCAGTCTTCAAGCTGGCACTGGACAAACACCTAAAGTCGGTTCCTGACCAGCTGGGCTGTGGCTCGTACTTTGGTTTGCGTGCAGCCAGCAGTAACAGCCTGGTTGATCAGGCTCTGATCCACCAGGAGGCCTGGTCACAGACCGGGCCGTGGAGGCGTTGACCCCCGGAACTCTCTCCAGGTAAACTCCAGGTATGTTTGCTTTGATGTTGTCAGTCTGGGTGGGAGTATGACCACAACTATTACCACTTGGTACTAAGTATATCAAGTGATTGTTTCAGGTTGTCAGGCTAGGTGGGAGTATGACCACACCTATTACCACTTGATACTAAGTATATCAAGTGATTGTTTCAGGTTGTCCGACAGGGTGGGAGTATGACCATACCTATTACCACTTGACACTGAGTGTATCATGTGTTTGTTACAGGTTGTCAGGCTGGGTGGGAGTATGACCACACCTATTACCACTTGACACTGAGTGTATCATGTGTTTGTTACAGGTTGTCAGTCTGGGTGGGAGTATGACCACACCTATTACCACTTGACACTGAGCATATCATGTGTTTGTTACAGGTTGTCAGGCTGGGTGGGAGTATGACCACACCTATTACCACTTAGACACTGAGTGTATCATGTGTTTGTTTCAGGTTGTCAGTCTGGGTGGGAGTATGACCACACCTATTACCACTTAGACACTGAGTGTATCATGTGTTTGTTACAGGTTGTCAGGCAGGGTGGGAGTATGACCACACCTACTACGACCAGACACTGAGTATGCAAGAAAACTGGGTGTGTGAACGGGACAGTCTGGTGGCAACTTGGATGTCTGCTGGTGTAGCTGGCAACGTCGTCGGTACACTCATCATTAACTCACTTTCTGATATGTGAGTTACTCTCTCTTACTGTTTTAACTCATATTTATAATCTAATATTATGATTTATATTATTTTATTTTCATTTAATAGAGTAAAAGTCAATCGGCGACTCGTGAAAGGTCAAAAAGGTGTATGGGAAAAAATATTTAATAGGCTTAATTCTTCTGCTTCATGTTACTTTACGTTACGTTAGTTTTCTGGCCTCATTTCCTAGGCTTCTTTTTGTCTATCTCACTTACCAGCGTTGTTATGCAAAAATGTGGGATAGCTGGGGGCTTGAGCCTGGTCTAAGGGCAAAAGTAAAAGTTACACACATACTAGCCCAAACCGGCCACCCAGGGCTATCCCAGACAAAACAGAAAGCGCTAAACTGGTATGTGTACTTAAAGGGGTTGGGTAGCAGAGGGTTATTCAAAAATCCCAATTAGGAAAATATATCTATTTAGTCACCATAACATAACATAACAGAAAAACCTTAATCCTCAACGCCCAAATGAGGGTACACAAACAACAGCTGGCTGGAGGTCCAGCCACCATAACACCTAGGCCTCGTCAGCGTCAGGCCCACTCTACTCCACACCTCATTTTTTATTTCCTCACTCCTCCCACAGCACCCTGACCATGTCAGAGCCTGGGTGAACATACAGGTAAGCCATATGAGAGCCTATGGCTTGAGTTGGATAAACAAAATGAGTGGACAACTACAAACTTATCTTAAAAATACAGCATCTCCGATGCCAGCCTCTACACACCATGCTAACGTCACGTGACCCCCCCAAACCACGCTTACTCCGCGTACCCAAACATCCTTGGAAAATAAATCATTAACAGAATTTCTTTATAATTACAGTTAGAGTACTTTACAGTACCCCCAAATGCACATTATCAATTATAAAATTATTCCTTACAACTATAATATTCATATTATTATGGCACACTTCTCCACTATATGTACATTACGATGTCATGCAGAACCCTGCATAACAAGTGTCATCTGTCGACCCGGAATATTGAAGTTCCTACCTATTTCAGCCTTATATATCTTTTTTTTCTACTTATCTTGTCCTGTGTGCCGGCAGTCTCTCGTCGCTCACTTCTCTTTGAGCTCGTACTGGCCAGCACATATCTCAGTAGTACCAGTTACCAGTAACCAGTTTCCAGTAGTATGACTCACTACCAACCGTCTGTGTGAATCACTGACTGTTATTCACTCTGCTGCTGACCATAGCATGTTTTTGAATGCCGCTCACCTCCTAGGCTTCACTGGTGGGTCAGTCTTAAGATAGAGAGCAGGGAGGCAGGGCGGCACGGCTTCTTCCCATACTTTCCGTTATAATTATACGTACTAACCAGCCTACGTGAGTGTTCTTAACCAATCCACGTATCAAACCCCCACATGACAATTTGGTGACAGCTTGTGGGCATGGATTTACGGGTATTTCAGACGTTATATCACTAATATTGTTAGGTAAAATGAGACATGCAATTAATGTCACATTTTATTGCGGCAACGTTTCGCTCTCTGGGACCTTTGTCAAGACGGCTCGACACAGCTCCTGGAGAGCAAAACTTTTCCACAGTAAAATGTCACATTAGTAGCACATGTGTCATTTTACTCTAATGTGGAACTCTATCGAAAGGCTTTCTGAAGTCCATATACACAATATCATTACCATGATCTACCTCCTTAAATACCTTAGTGAAAAAAGTAAATTCAGAGTTCCATTTTGCATTCCTTAAGAATCCTTGAAAAAACTTTACTTTATCTACAACACTTCAGCTACACTCATCATTTACTTGAATGAAACCCATCTATAAGTAACTTACTTATTAATAATATCTTTATTTACTACAAGTGCATAGTATACAGGTCTACCTGACATCACTGACATACTACTATATAGAAAGCCGCTTGTCATGCAAAGCATTTCGGGCAAATTTGGTCATTGTCCCAGGATGCGACCCACACTAGTTGACTAACACCCAGGTACCCATTTTACTGATAGGTGCAGGGAACCGAACCACGGAACCTCAGCGTGTGAAGCGAGAGCTTTGCCTACCAGGCCACGGGCCACCAATTATAATTCATTGAGTATAGCACCATTACAGTAGCATTATAGTTTCACTCCTTTTCCCCCTCCCTGTCTTCCTGTCAGCTGTGAGATACACTTTTGTTGCTTGTTCGAACACTTACCTAGACACTTTCCTCACCTACCAGCTTGTTGCAACCACCATCATCCATCCCCTTAATACTGCATAACAGTAGTGCTGATTTCTACAGAGTGGCTCCCACAGTATGGCTCCCACAGTATGGCTCCCACAGTATGGCTCCCACAGTATGGCTCCCACAGTATGGCTCCCACAGTATGGCTCCTCCTGAAAAGGCCTTCTACAGAGTGACTCATTCCTGAGCGGCTCCCTTTCACACCTATATGCTAATGACCTTGACCTCGCCCTCGAGACCACCTCGCCCTCGAGACCACCTCGCCCTCGAGACCACCTCGCCCTCGAGACCACCTCACCCTCAACCCCCCCCACGCCCCCAACCCACGACCCCCCACGCCCCCCACCCACGACCCCCACCCGCGCCCCCCGCGGCCCCCTCGCATCTCACCCGCGGCCCCCGGCGCCCCCCACCCTAGCGCCGACCCACCGGCCCTTCCGCACCCTCGCACCCGCCCGTGCCCCACACGCCTGCTCGTCGCGCCCGCCCATACCTTCTGCTGCGCCTTCTGCAGCGTCGTCCGGATCGCCCCCGCTCCCCGAATTTTTTTCCAATTTTTTTCAAATTTTTTTTTGAATTTCATTTTCTTATGATCTCCATCTCCTCGGATCAAATTTCTGAGGTTCCCCCTCCCACTTTCACCCCAATTTTTTTTTCTCGTTAACACAAAGACTCCAATTCCTCGGATCACGCACGCAGCCTGCAATCATGCACTCATACAGGCAGCCTGCAATCATGCAATCAAGCAGGCAGCCTGCAATCATGCAATCACGTAGGCAGCCTGCACTCATGCATTCACGCAGGCATCCTTCAATCATGCAATCACGCAGGCAACCTGAAATCATGCAATCATGCAGGCACCCTGAAATCATGCACTCACACAGGCAGCCGGCAATCATGCAATCACGCAGGCAGCCTGCAATCATGCACTCACGCAGTCAGCCTGCAATCATGCACTCATGTAGGCAGTCTGCAATCATGCACTTATGCAAGGAGCCTGCAATCATGTACTCATGCAGGCAGCCTGCAATCATGTGCTTAAGCAGGCACCATGCAATCATGCACTCTCACAGGCAGCGTGGAATCATGCACTCTCACAGGCAGCCTGCAATCATGCAATCACGCAGGCAACCTGCAATCATGCAATCACGCAGGCAGCCTGCAATCATGCTATCACGCAGGCTGCCTGCAATCATGCACTCACGCAAGCAGCCTGCAATCATGTACTCACGCAGGCAACCTGCAATCATGCAATCACGCAGGCAGCCTGGAATCATGCACACACGTAGGGAGCCTGCAATCATGCACTCACGCAGTCAGCCTGCAATCATGCAATTACACAGGCAGCCTGCAATTATGCACTCATGCAGGCAGCCTACAATCATGCACTCTCGCAGGGAGCCAGCAATCATGCACTCACGCAGACAGCCTGCAATCATGCAATTACACAGGCAGCCTGCAATTATGCACTCATGCAGGCAGCCTAGAATCATGCACTCATGCAAGCAGTCTGGAATTATGCACTCATACAGGCAGCCTGAAATCATGCACTCACTCAGGCAGCCTGCAATCATGCACTCTCACAGGCAGCCTGCTGTTATGCAATCACGCAGGTAGCCTGCAATCATGTACTCTCACAGGCAGCCTGGAATCATGCACTCACGCAGGGAGCCTGTAATCATGTACTCTCACAGGCAGCCTGGAATCATGCACTCACGCAGGCAGCCTGCAATCATGGAATCACGCAGCCAGCCTTCAGTCATGCACTCACGCAGGCACCCTGCAATCATGCACTCATGCAGGCAGTCTGCAATCATGCACTTTTGCAAGCAACCTGCAATTATGTACTCATGCATGCAGCCTGCAATCATGTACTTGCGCAGCCACCATGCAATCATGCACTCTCACACGCAGCATGGAATCATGCACTCTCACAGGCAGCCTGCAATCATGCAATCACGCAGGCAGCCTGCAATCATGCAATCACGCAGGCAGCCTGCAATCATGCAATCACGCATGCTGCCTGCATTCATGTACTCACGCAGGCAGCCTGCAATCAAACACTCACGCAGGCAGCCTGCAATCATGCAATCACGCAGGCAGCCTGCAATCACGCACTCACGCAGACAGCCTGCAATCATGCACACACGAAGGCAGCCTGGAATCATGCACTCACGCAGGCAGCCTGCAATCATTCAATCACGCAGGCAGCCTGCAATCATGCAATCACGCAGGCAGTCTGGATTCATGCAATCACGAAGGTAGCCTGCAATCATGCACTAGCGCAGGCAGCTTGCAATCATGCAATCATGCAGGCAGCCTGCTATTATGCACTCATACAGGCAGCCTGCAACCATGCACTCTCACAGGCATCTTGCAGTTATGCAATCACGCAGGTAGCCTGAAATCATGTACTCTCACAGGCAGCCTGGAGTCATGCACTCACGGAGGCAGCCTGCAATTATGCATTCACACAGGCATCCTGCAATCATGCACTCACGGAGGCAGCCTGCAATTATGCACTCTCACGGGCAGCCTGGAATCATGAACTCACGCAGGCAGCCTGCAATCATGCACTCACGCAGGCAGCCTGCAATTACGCACTCACACAGCCATCCTGCAATCATGCACTCACGCAGGCAGCCTGCAATTATGCACTCACATAGGCATCCTCCAATCATGCAACCACGCAGGCAGCCTGCAATCATGCACTCACGCTGGCATTCCGCAATCATGAACTCGTGCAGGCAGCCTGCAATCATGCACTTACGCAGGCAGCCTGGAA